CCCCCTTGTACTGGGGATGAAATCCATGGCCTCAGACATGGTAACCGAATGCTCTACCACTAAGCTACATCCTTAGCCCTTAAAAATAGGGTACATTTTAGGGCCCCCTCTGGAATGAATGTCCTCCAGGGAGAACGGAAAAGGGAGAACTTTCTAGGCTTTATGGCTTGCTTTGGGGGACAGGGATTCTAGTTTCCAGGATGCATCTGGGGGAAAGGAGTTTGGGTTTCAGTGAGGGTTTCTATGATGCACTTCAGGGAGAMAGSAAAGGGAAGGAGACAGGAGGGCAGGGGAAGGCCAGAGGGGCTTTGCCTCTAAGGCCGCAAAACTCTCTTCACCTAGGCAGAGAATCCTTTCTTTGTATGCGGGGAGACCTTGGGTCTGGATATTATCAGAGGACCTGTCCAGGCAGTTTTGTGGGTTCCCACCTGGTTTTTACCCTCCTGGAAACAGAGCAAGAACACTGAGAGTGGCCACACCCAAGACGGCAGGGAGACAATCCCATTCTCCTCATTTCCTCCCAGCACAATTGAGGGTTTATGTAGGGAAGAATTTCTGCTGGTTTTCTGGATACAGCTTCCTAAAACTTTTGGCATGTTGACTTAAATGGGTTCCAACCAGTTGGCTCCTTGTGTACTGATGCCCATTTAATAAGGTGCCAGGCACTGTCTTCTAGACTAAGCTTTAGCTGGGCTGCACCGAGCCCTGGGTTTTGTTTTGTTTTTCATTCTTTGCTACACGCCCACCTCTGTTTTTGTTTGTTCTTGGAGACAAGGTCTCACTAGGCTGGTTTGAATTCCAGGGTGCAGAGAATCCTCCTGCCTCAGCCTCCAAAATGGTAGGGGTCTCCATAGCTTTTGACCAGGAACTGACCTTGGCCTTCTATCTTCCTGTCCTGCCCTGTCTGCATGACCCAATTATAGCAAGAATGCTGCTCCCTGTAGCAAGAATCGCCTTGCTCTTGGTGTCTCCTCATCAATTTTTCATTCATGGTTTTTAGCAATAATCTCCACTAACCCTTGTTTGCAGTTGAGTCCCGTCTCCCTCCCTATTGCAGTTCTATTTTTGAACAGCCTCCTTACTGCTTTAAACGAGTGCTCGAATAATTTTTTTTTCTTTAACAACATAAATTAACTAATTTATCCTTCCACGGGGGTGGGTACTGTAAATAACCCATTTACGTGGGTAAGGACAGAGGAGAGAGGGTGCCCTCGGGGAGACACCCACTGGTGCCATGTCAGCAGCTTGCACCCGGCCGCAGGTGGGCCCACCAGCCCAGCTTCTAGGCTACAAACCGGTGGGGGCTGCAGCCTAGCGGGAGGAGCKAGCTGCAGGACGCCGTCTCCTGGCAACCCGGCAGCAGTCATATGYCCCGCCCCCGAGTGCCTCACGTGACCAGGAGCCGAGCAGGGATTGGCTCGGGCGCAACGGGTGGGGCGGGACCGGGCAAGTTAGTTTTTCGAGTTCGGAGCCCAGGAGCCCCCGCGGCCGTCGCGTTGTGCCCACCGCCTGGGCCGGGATGGAGCTGCCGGTCGTGAACTTGAAGGTGGCCGCTGCGGGGTGGAGCGGGCCTCCTGTGCGGGAGGGTGCTGGCACCCTTGAAGGAGGGTGGGAGGACCGAGTCCGGGGAAGGAGGAGTAGCAGGGACCAGGGGACCGCACAGACCCCAGTGAGGAGGAGGTGCGCGCGGGCCGCGGCAGGCAGGGGCCGGCAGGGACCCGCAAGAGCCCGCAGGCAAGACCCGGGGGGCGCGGGGCGGCCGGCGAGGGAGGGGGCCGTCCCCTGCCCCTCGGGCTGGCAGCGACGGGTCCCCAGGACTGCGCCGGCCTTCGCGCCCAGAATGCCCCTGGAGTAGGGGGAGGGGCCGCCGAGGGACACCGCCCCTCCGGCCCGAGGGGGCCRGACGTTTCTCCCGAGCCCCTGTCCAGCCCTGGTGGCCGCCTTTGTGTGCAGAGTCAGATTAAGAAAATCCGACGTTCCCAAGCCTTGGGCTTTCCAGAGTTTACCAGTGCAGCGTCCGTATTGCATAATTAAGAAGCACAAGCTGCAGAAGTTACTTAAAAGCAGAAAACCCCAACCCGGGGCCCTAGGGCCCACGCTGCGGGGCCTCCTGGGGTGTCTTCATTTCCTGAGCCTGGCGCTGTTCCTTTTCTCGCCGCCCACCCGCAGCGTCTGGTGCCCGAGTTTCGTTTGCAACAGAGGGACTGGCGACTTAGCTTTGGTCAGGAAGGTGTGGACCTTGGACTAAACCGGCCATTTTGGGTCTTGGTGCAGTTTCCTCGGAGACTCTATCCGTCCCTTACTCTTGAGTGCTTGAGTGACAAAGCATTTAGCACTGTTGGTGTCTGGGACTAAAGGAATCTGAGGGATGGCTACACAGCTGCAGTGTAATCTGTATTTGGATCATTACACACACGTGGTCTGAGTGGGGACTCGCCCTGGGCAGATTTCCCTTCTTAATCATGCAGTGCTGCTTGAGCCWGCTTTCCTGGAGCTTCCAGCCAGCAGCCTGGGGAGAGAGGGCTGGAACAAGGGGATGGAATGTTTCCCTGGGGAGAAACTGAGAGGGAAGGGCACTTAGTCACAAACCTTGGGCAGGTTGTAACCTCCATCACAGTCCACTTCCKAGGAACGTTGCCATCTTTTTATTAAGGAGTGGGCTTCAACTCAGATCAAGGAAGTGAAGTGTCAGGGTCCCCCAGGGACTGAGTGGCCGGGTCAGGATTTGACCCGAGTGCTGTGGCATTTCCTGGGTACCACTTCAGTCAAGGCTGACTTGGGCCTTGACTGCTGATGTCAGTTTTATGGGCCTGACAGGCCAAGAGCATCCCCAGGCGTGAGCTCTGCTGGCGGGGCTTCCCTTGACTGGGCAACAAGAACCTGTCTCCCGGGGTCTCAGCTGCTACCGGGGACCSTGAGGGGCCAGGTTACCAGGTGACATACGGGACATGCAGTTGAATTTGGGTTTCAGAGCAACAGGTTTTTATTATGAGTACGTCTTAGGCAGTGTTGGGGACAGACTAAATCATTCAGGGTCTGAAATTCAGGATTAGCTAGGTGTTCTGTGGTTTTGTTTGCCACATCTGGCCAGCCTATGGAGGGCAGCTCTTGGGCACTTAAGTAGGAAATCCCTCGGGAGCTGGGGACTGTACCCTGGGCCTCAGCCCCCTCAGTCCCTCCCTCTTTCATTCCTTGGGTGTRGGCTCAGCAGTTTTGGGTGGTCAGGTGACTTTCCAAGGCCGTATTGCCTCTGAAGTCACCCGCCAGGATCACAGCCACACATGGAACTCCAGGAACCCAGCAGTTAGCCACTCCATGGCCTCACCCCCCTCAGGACAGCCCTCAGGGTAGGAACACAGTCAGTGTTCCCAGGGCATGCTCATCTGAGGCCTCCCTGGGAAGTCCCACCTGCCTCCTCCCACSGGTCCGCTGGTGGTAGAGGTTTGAGTCTTGGCCCACTTGGCTCCTCGGTTTCTTCTTGGCCTTCCCTTCTCTGGGTCAGACCTCCTCCTCGACCCACCCTGCCTTGCTCTTCCTGAGATTGCCGCACAGTGGCTGGGCACGGGCCTGTGGACAGACAGACAGACATTCAAGGCCAGGCCTTGCCACTTATTAGCTGTATGAGTTGAGTGGGTTTCTTGACCCGAGTATCCATTTCCTCACATAAGAGGATAAAGTAGCTCCTGCCTTCCAGGGTGAGCAGGGAGGAGCCTGGGTCCAGGAGGGAGCCTTAGGTTGACTCAGGCCGGATGCGCTGATCCCGAGATGTGCSTCTGGGCTCTGAGGTGGGTGAGCTTTACCTCTGGGGCATTTACCTATCTCTCACACCTCAGCTCTGCCCATAGGGTTACTTCCTGGGATGACCTGGGGCAGGTGTTTGGGCAGGAGGGACACAGAGCACCTTAGCAGGCAGGTGCAGGTCAGTAGTGGGAATYGCTCCTGTCACTGCTGCACAGGACACTGGGCTGCTCAGGGACCTGTGGGTATTAAGAGGGTAGGGCGGCTTCCCTGGCAGTKGGACAGATGGGTCCTACCAGACACAGGCTGCCTCCATCTCACACCCTGACTCCTGTCCCCCCAGCAGCCTGTGACCCCCAGTGCCCTGGTCAGTTGGCCTCTGTCTGGGGACAGCCCCCTGGCTGAGCACTGCAGTGAGAGTCCAGGGTTCAGGCCCTGCCTTCCCCTGTCCTGCTGACCTCGGGGCCCGTCCTGGTTCCATGTAGCTCAGAACCCTCCCACATTTCCTGCTTCTTTCTCAGAAGCCTCGGGATCACGTTGGTTACCAGAAACCTCCCTAGAGCCAGCCGGTGTCCACAGTGAGTCACAGGCCTCTCCTGCTGCAGGGTGCCAGGAAGGGCAGGCCTGGTTTGGCTGGGTTCCCGGGACGGTCCTGGGTGTTAGGTCTCTGGGGGGGTGACCTCCCAGCACAACAATAAGAAACGGAGGCAGCAGAGGCTCAGTCTCCATGGGGGCTTGAGAGAAGTGACAGCGCTGAGTTCCTTCCACACTAAGGAYACCACAGCGATGCCGTGCAGGGGGCCGTGTGTCCTCCGAGGGTCCGAGGGTTTGGGGTTCTGTTTTMTTCCTCCACTGCAGAGGCTTGGCTTTAGCTGGCCTCTCCTGCCCACAGCCCTCAGCTGGAGGCAGAGTCTCCCACAGGTCATCCAGTGACCTGCCTGTGGCCCCTGCAGCTGCCCCTGCCTCTGCCTCTGGTCCCRTTGCCATGCTCCATAGAAAGCCAGGGCTGGCCAGCTGCGGGTGGAGGTCGGAGGCAGGGCGTGTGCTTAGCATGGGTGAGGCCATGTGCTGCGTCCCCTTCAGGACTTGCAGGGCCAAGAAACACCGTTTCTCCAGACYTCACGGTGTGCAGTCTGGTGTGGAGCCAGAGACGTGGACACGGAGGTCGATTCTCAGAAGTCAGACTGAGAAGGGCCAGGTGGTCGTCTGGGAGGAGAGTGTGGAGTGAGCAGCCACTGGGGCCCCCTCCCTTGGTGTTTTCTCACAGTTCAAGCCCAACCATAAGGCCTGCCGTGTGGCCTTGGGCAGGGTCCTTCCCTCTGGGTCAGTTTCCTATGGGACTGAAGGGACTATGGGTAGCTTTAAGATAAGGATCGGAATCCTCCCTGCTCCCAGCCTCCTGCCCTGCCCTCCTCTGGCAGCAGGGACTTACGTAGTTTTCAGAAAGCTCGATGCTCCCTCCGCCTCAGCCTTTGCAGGAGCTGCCCTGTCCACACGTCCTTTGTCCTCTGCCCTGGATAGCCATGCCTGTCACCCCCTTCATTTGGCTTAAAGGTCACTTCCATGGAGAAGCCTCCTGTGACTACCCCACTCCCTGTCACCCAGCACTGTGGTCAACAGAGGTTTCTTTTCTCACAGAGCAAGGGTCTCAGTGGACCCCACAYACCCAGGGCCCACTGCTGATTAGGGAGTGTGCTCTGCTGGATGTCRGTCCTCGGCTGACATCCACGTCCACATTCCTTCCCACCCTAGGGAGACACAGAGCAGGTACCAGTGACACCAAGTAAAATGGTAAATGTTGGGGAAATGCAGCACCATGTGCTCACTCTTCTTAAGCCCCTGGGAAGAGAAACCCATGGGGCTTAGCCTCCCCTGCCTCAGTTTCCCACTTGGTTCAGGGAGAGGCCTTGTGGCCCGGTGTGATGCTGGTCCTGCACTGGCTGCTGTGTGACTCTGAGCCTCAGTTTTCTCAGCTGTGAATCAGGGATGACAGTGCCTCAAGGATGGGCAGGCTCAAGGGGCTCCCGTCCAGACGTGCTTAGAAGGGACGTGCTCAGTTATAAAGAAGGTGGAGGACGGGACGCTTCCCCTGGAGCCTCCCCTCTGGGGTAYGCCTCTGCTCTGGATGTTATCTGCGCCCCCTGCCCCCTGCGGGTAGAGGACGTCCACATTTCTCAAAGGCCCAGACAGCCCCTCTTGGCTGAAGGCCTGGGCCTCCAGTGTGGAGGTCAGCAGCACTGGTCAGTAGGAGCCAGATTTGACTTTCTGGTTTGGCCTCTGGTTTGGCCTCAGTATCTGAAGCATCTTGATCAGCTTAATTTGCCTCTGGGCCCAGTTTTCCGCCTGTGAACTGGGAATGATAACTGTAGTGTTCCGAGGCTGTCGAGTCCAGCTGAGGCATGTGAGGTATGCAGTAAGAGGGACCCCGCAGCGCCTCCCCTCCAGCCTGACCCTGTCCCCCCAGTGACCCTCCCAACCTGGGGCTTCTGTCCTCCTAAAGTCCTGTGCCATCCCACCCCATCTCAGCACGGCCACACCCTCCCTGCAGCTGGGGCCTGGCCCATCCTGCTTGCTGTCCACTCGGCCCTTGGCCTGGGAGCCGCCCTCTGCGGACACTGTGGCCACCGGCCCCCGCCCTCCCATCACACCTGYCCCTCCTTTCCTCACATACCATCCTTTTGGATGATCAGGAGTAGAGGAAAGGGTGGGATTTCTGGGTGCAGGGGTGCATGCCTGCGATCCCAGTGACTTGGGAGGCCAGGGCAGGAGGATCACAAGTTCAAGGCCAGCCTGGACAACTTAGCAACCCCCATCTCAAAAAGAATAACTAGAAAGGGCCGGCTGTAGTTCAGTGGTAGAGCACCCTGGGTTTAATCCCTGGTGCTGCACATCAAGCCAAAAAAAAGCCAGGGGGATTTTGTTTTCTTTGTCACAAGTGATGCCGTGATGTCTCCCTGCCTTGTGTCCCCAGGGCTCCCTTCACTGTCCTGGGCTTGAAATCCAGGCTCCTTCCAGAGGCCCTCAGGCCTCCTCCCCACTTGCTCTTCCTCCCAATCACAGTGGTGACCTTCCCCTCTGCCCTCCATGTCCTCAGAAATTGCCTCCCCCCGCGTCCCTCCCATCCCCACCATTTCCACCGAAAGCTCTTCTGATTCCAGAGCCCATTCCCTTAGAAGCAGGAGGGTGTGGGTGTCCACCATGCCCCTCCTCCACCCGGGCTGCTGCTGTTCCTTTGATGACCAGCCCTCGTAGGTACCAGGCAGGGGCTCCTGTTCTCCGGCTCCGGAAGCTTCCTTTCCCCTGTGGTGGTCACACCCCATTCACAGACCCGCTCCCTGCCCCTCTTGTGCCGCAGGTGATTCTCCTGGTCCACTGGCTGCTGACAACCTGGTGAGTAACTGCGGGAGTCTGCCTGCATGCAGGGGCTCCCCGCTGTGCTGTGTCTGTGGGTGTGTGCCCTTGCGTCTCCTAGGGGCTGTGTCCGCGTGTCCCCAGGTCCCTGTTAGCCTGGGCAGGTCTGTCTGCTGTCTTTTGGTCAGGCAGTTCCCCATGAAGCCTGCTTTCCATCTGTGCAGTGGGGTAAGGACAGGGCCCCGCAGGAGCGGGAGGGAGAATGCAGCTCCKCGGGCACCCCCAGGGCCTGCAGAGACACAAGGCTCCAGTGGGCCAACTTAGCACTCGCTGTCGCCTCTTTTGTGTCTGTGGAGTTTCCTGGGGCGTCTCTGCCAAACCAAGACAGGAAACCCTAGAGCTCACGTGCGCATTTTGCAAACTTCCAAGTGCAGTGCACGTGCAGACGGCTGTGAGGGACATACACAGCGAGAACAGCTCAGGTGCAGGTTTCCCTGTCACTCTCCTGGAGCCTCTGAGCRGGCAAGCCTGGGCGGAAGCCGGGCACCTGCTTTCCTGACACCCTGAGACGAGATGATTTAGTCAACCGCTTACGGAGCCCAGCTGCCTGCGCCCCAGCTTCTCTGCACAGGTTTCCTGCATGTGACACTCTGTGAACATCATTTAAATCTATGAAGCGCCCACAGCTTGCTGGCCATGGAGGCCCCAGGAGGCAGACTGAGGCCGTCCACAGCCTGTCCTCCAGGGAGGCGGGACCTCCAGAGAGGTGGGAGGAGCAGGGCCTCTGCAGCCAGGCTGCTCACATCCCAGCCCCACCTCTTAGCCGCGGAGTGACCTCGGGAGGTCGGTCTCTGAGAGGCTAGGAYAATAACATGCCTCCCCCAGGACGGAATGGAAGGCGCAGAACCCCTCWGGGTCCCACGGAGGGCCCTGGGTTAGCAGGTTTCCATTGGATTAACAAGCAAACCAGTAAACACCCTGTCAGACAGCGGCAGTGCACTGTAGGGTAGAGCGGATGTCGCCTTAGGGAACTCATACTTAACGCTGGGCAGTGAGGGACGGGGTCTCGGAGTTGACATCTGAGCTGGGACTAAATCACCAGGGCTGAGTGTCTGGGGAGCTGCACAGGGCTGGGCTAGGGAGGTGAAGGTGGCGGTACTGGCCAGACCCCCTGGGGCACTCGCCCAACCCCGCAGGCCCTGTGAAGGGTCTATTTTATTTCAATGGGAGAGAAAACGGTGTTTTTAGCAGAGGGGTGACCATCAGATTCACATGCCGACTGCGTTTTCAAGAGTGGTCTGTGGGGCCAGGAGTGGCCGCATGGAGACCCTGGGGGGAGGCCGTGCCCAGTCAGGAGGGGTGAGGTGACTTGCTGATGTTTGAAGTGCAGCCARCTGGCCTTGCAGACTGGGGCCTGTGCTCTGAGGAGGCCTGGGACTCTGGAGCAAGAGGGAGGTGACCTGTGGAAGGGCGGGCAGCTGCAGGGCGGTGGCCACCTGATGGACAGAGGTCTCTCCCCCAGGGGCTGCATGGGGTTCTCGGGCTCCTATGCCTGGGCCAACTTCACCATCCTGGCCCTGGGCGTGTGGGCCGTAGCTCAGCGGGACTCYGTGGACGCCATAAGCATGGTGAGCAGGGAGGGGCGTGGGGTGGGCTTCAGGCTCTGCCGCCTCTCACCTACCCCGGTTCTCTCTCTTCCTTGGTCCCCCATTTTCAGCCTTCAGGCTGCCTGTCCACCTGCCTGCCAGCTGGCCTGCTCCCTGCTGGGTGCCCTGGGGAGCCCATGTCTGTATTGCTTTTCCCAAGACAGACCCAGGGAGGGGCCCAGCAGTGCCCCAGATGGGCCACTCCCCCAGGTGGGCTGACCTCTGACAGCTTCTTCATCACTGTGATCGAAAGACCTACAAGAACAATTAGAGGAGAAGTATTGGGGGGCTCCCAGTTTCAGAGGCCTCAGTCCATCTCTGGGGCTGGAGGTGAGGCAGGACATGGAGAAGGGTGTGGTGGAGGGAAGCAGAGGGACTCCACTCACCAGGGACAAAATAAATACCCCAGAGCCACGCCCCCAATGCCCACCCCCTGCCGCCACACTCCACGGCCTCCAGTTACCACTCAAGGGGTTAGCGCCCTGATTGGGTGAGRGCCTCCTGACCCAGTCACGGCACTTCTAAACCTTCTTGCATCGCCTCATGCAGGAGCCTTGGGGGGAGAGGGAAGGTGGCTGGGAGACCTGGCCTGGAGGGCGCCCCACTTCTGTACTGAAGTTAGAATTGACCCTGCCCAGGGCGCTTCCCAGCCCCCACCAGCCCGCCCCAGCTCTTCCCGCGGGCCGCAGCCCTCAGTGGTAGAGAAGGGTTCCTTTGTGGCGGCCATGTRTCCAGGAGCTCCAAGGGATCTTCCAACTTGGAGGTTTAGACCAAGTCTTTGACCCCGTCGCGGCCTGGGGAGGTGGATTGTCCTCTCCGAAGCCCTGCAGGCTGCAGGCAGGCGGCTCTGCTCCCCTCCAGGCCCTGCCCTCTGGCCTGACAACGCTGCAGCAGAGCCYGAGGAGCAGAGGGCAGGGCCAGGCTTCTGGGCTGGTGTGTGCAGAGGAGGAGCCACGTGTCTCAGGAGCCGGGCAGTGCCCCCAAACCTGTGGCTGTGTGTCTTGCAGTTCCTGGTGGGCTTGCTGGCCACCATCYTACTGGACATCATCCACATCAGTGTCTTCTACCCAGTGGTCGCCACCTCAGACAGTGGCCGCTTCAGCGCCGGCATGGCCATCCTCAGCCTGCTGCTCAAGCCCTTCTCCTGCTTCCTGGTCTACCACATGTACCGGGAGCGCGGGGGCCACCTCCTGTCCCACGGTGAGCCTGCCTCCAGCCGCCCCACTCCCCCTGCTGTGGCCCCTGCCCATGGGCCTGGGGCTCCAGCGCGGGCAGGCGTGTGGTGTGGCTCCCCACCAGGCTGGGTGTGCACTCCCCTGGTCGCTGCTTCTGGGCCACGCTGCTCCTGGGCCACGGCCATCACAGTCTGGGGTGGTCTCCTCGCTGTCGGGCTGTCACAGGGTCGGGGGCAGCAGCCTCAGGCTGGCCTTCCCTTGGTGCAGAGCCCGGGCGAGGCAGGGTGTGGGCCAGTTTCCAGAGCCCCTCCCCTGCGTCCACCAGCCCTGCTGTCCTGCCATGCGGGTCTCTTTGATGGATAGTGCAAGGTGTCTGGGGAGAGCTAGGGTTGCTGGGGCCTGGGGACCTGGGGGAAGCCAGCGCCAAATGGCAGTCACTTCCTTGTGGGCAGCCATCTTGCCTCCTGACTGGCCCCACCCCCCAGAAACCCTGTACCCCTGTCTTCCATGGGGGCTGAGCCATTTTCTTGTCCCCTCTGACACCTCCCTTGCACTCTGGGTGGAGGCAGGGCGGGGGCTTCCATCTTTGCTTTGGGAAGAGGTGCAGGTGGCCGGGGGAGYGCTGGGCAAGTGTAGGAATGGTCCTCACTAACCTCAGCACCGCCCAGCCCTGCCCCAGGGGACAGACAAGGAGACCAAGGCCCCCAGCCTTTAGGACGTGCTTGAAYGCCCAGGACAGACGTGCAGAGGGGGTGGGAGTGAGGCGTGCGGGGCTCTCGGAGGCTGCTGCCCTGCCTGGCACCTCCAGCTCTGGTTTTCTGGGCGCGGCAATAGCGCCAGTTCCAGAGCTGCTGGGGTACAGGAATGTGGTATCCCTGTGCCTGGGAGGGGAACTAGAAAGAAGTCCATGGGCCCAGGCTGGGTGTCCCTCAGATTCCTGAGCATGTGCTGCTCTGGGAAGAGTGTAGCCTGGAGACCGAKCGCTGGCCCCAGGGCCCAGCGTCGGGGATGTGGAGCTGAATGACTTCAGGCAAGTCTGTCACCTCTTTGACTCTGCTTCCTGGCAAAGTGAGGCCATGAACACACCTGCTCCGGGCATGCTAGAGGCTCATAGGTGCTGCCACTGTCCACTCTCCCTGGCATCAGGATGCCCAGCCCTGGCCTTGGATGGGGGATGGATCTTGGTTTGGGCTCAACAGAACGTCTCCCAATTTCTCACTCTTGTTTTTTTCTTTCCTGCCACCACCCCCCGCCCCCAGATTTCCTTGGACATTCTCAGGAACATAGTGCCTACCAGACAATTGAATCCCCAGAGCCACCTGCGGACCCCTATGCAGTCCCAGAGGGCAGAGGTCAAGCCACCCGAGGGTACTGAAGCAGCCCCCGTGCCAGCCCTGCTGCATCACCTTCCTGGTGCCCGGGACATCCTGGTCCCCGACTTCCCTTCCTTGGACTCCCTTCCTTGGGCCTCACATGGAATGTGTCTCCTGGTCCCTGTTCCAGGGGCTGCTGGAATCAAGTGCCCTGAGAGGCCAGGAGCCCCCGTGGCTTCCCAGCCCATGAACACACCTGTCCTAACCTCCAAGGCCTCCCCTCCCCTCAAGTCTCCCTTGTCCCTAAGCTGGAACCCTGGCTTTCTTTGCCTCCCACTGTGCCACGCAGACCCTGGGGCACGTCATTCCTGGGTGTGGCTGGGTCAGGCCTCTCAGGAGCGGTGATGGCCACCTCCCCAGGCCTCCCCAAGTCTGTGTCATCCTTCTGCAGAATGCTGAGCACTTCAGGTCACTCCCAGCTCCGGACCTCATCCAGCGTGGCACTGAGGTCCTGTGCTCAGGTCACTTGATGCGGGGCCCCGGGCCTAGAGGCAGGAGGTGTCTGCAGTGCCCAGCAGCCACCACAGCCTGCAGAGCGAGGCATGGAAATCTGAGGACTCTGTGGCCAGGCTGTATCGTGGGCCACGCTTAACCTCCTGGCTGTGCTGGGCGGTTTCTCCTTGGGCACCTGGTAGAGCCCGGCTTGGCCCGGCCAAGGCCACAGCTGAGAAGKYGCTGGGCAGTGCATGGGACCTGGATCAGAGGACCTGGYGTTGGCTCRAACCCTCCTCTGCCACTTAGTACCTTCASTGTCTCCCAGGAAGGGCTGATCTTGCCTGTCCAGAGCCAACTGTGATGTTCAGGTAAAGTGAGYGGCCCAGGCAGGACGCCTGAGTGACAGCACGCTGTCCACAGTGAGCTGCTCCCTGAGCCAGTGGTRCTGTTGGGTCTGGAGGCAAGGGGTGGCTTTGTCCTGCAGCCCCTGTGTCCTGGCCACAGAGCGGACTCATGTCCAAGAGCTCCTTGGATCCCAGGGCCAGGGCTCACCTCACTTGACTGACAGGCCATTAAGAGCTTGCTATTCTGTCCCCTGGGCCCAGGTTCCTGGGCTTCTGCAGGGGCGCAGCCCTACCCAGTAAGGGCTTGGGCCCACAGTGGGGCCCTGGTGCCTGCTCTCCAGGGAAGACATGCTTAGTCATCAGGAGGATCAGGCTGAGGCAAGAGCCCTGAAAGGAAGAGCCCTCTGGGCAGATGGGGGAGGCTGCTCTGGGGCCCGGGGACAATGGGTGGCCACGGCTATGAAAGCCTGGATTGGCCATGGTCCACTCACCGCCTGGGACGCCACCTGGCAGTTACAGTGAAYGAACCTGACCACGTGCCAACGCTGCTCCCAGATGGGAACAGAMTGCAGAAGGCGGGTGCCACAGGAGAGCGCTGGTGTACCCCTGAAACACCACGGCACGCCCCTTTTGCTCTTGGGAGTGCACKCAGAAAGGGGTAAAAAGATGAGCTAGATGACACATGTCAACTTCATGACTGCAGTGGCCTGGGGGAGGGCGCTGTGACCGAGAGGAATGGGGCTCAGAGGCCAGGCCTTTCCTCTTCTCTCGTGGGTCCCTGGACCAGGAAGGCCTGCAGTGTCCATGCTCTGACAGGAGTGGGTCAGGCTTCCATGGGAATGAGAGGGAGGCACAGCCTGGCTGGGCAGCAGGAGCAGCCATGCAGAGCCTGTGCACAGCAGAGGGGAGGGGACAGTACATGACAGACCACAGTTCCTTGTCCCCATCCCCCAAGTTTGACCCACTCTGGGGGAAGGGCCCGAGGAGGCCTGCTGTCTCAGGAGGGTTCCCCAGAAGCCAACCGACATAAGGGCCAGGAGCTGGGCTCTCGGTCATACCAAGGGCAGCCCTGGGGGCAGGGGCAACTCTGGAATTTTTGTTCAGCTGTTGGGGTGGAACCCAGGCTTTCTGCCTACAAGGCCGGGCTGTCTCATGAACCACAGCCCCAGCCCAGTGTCCGCCATTCTAGCAGCATCAGCCACTGGAAGGAAATTCCTCGAGCCTCTGGTCACCTCTCGCCTCTGGCTGGTCTTCTGGCTCTAAGAGGTCTCCTGAAAGCGCTTGCACTGCAGGCACGGTCAGGGCGAGATGGTTAGGTCATGAGAGCTGTAGCTTGACCCCTGCCATGGAGGAATGGTTAGGATGCACACTGCTATTTACCTGCAGGCCGGGTCACTGGGGCATGGCTTGGGGATATAGCTTGCCCCTGGCTCCTCCCCCCCTCCCTCTGCTTCCCAGCTGCGGTGAGCTGAGCGGCTTCCCTCTGCCATCCCTTCCCCCCACCCGGATGTTCTGCCTCACCTTGGGCCCAGAGCAGTGGAGTCGGCCAACCAAGGACCTAGACCCTGGGCACAAAACAGACTTCCTCCTCTGGGTTGCTCCCATCAAGCACTTTGGTCACAGCAACACAGAGGTGGCGTGCACTCCTGGAGAGCTGAAGTCACTTGTCCGGTTTGGACATCATCTTGTTTTCATAAAGTGGAGCCGACCACAGGATAAAGCCAGAGAAACTGCTTCAGAGCAGGTCCCTGCCTGTCCCTGTTGGACAGGCCTCACCACGGGCCTGTCTCCAGAGTCTCCAGAATGGCTCAGAAGTCCCAGCTCTCGCAGCCTGTCTCCAAACTGGCTCTAGAGCTTGTAGCCTTAATTTAAATCCCAAATGAACCCTGGGACCAGCTACATAAGAGATGACAGTCTCTGAACCTCACTGTGCCTTAGTTTCCTGATAGAAAAAAATGCATAACTCAGGGATTAGGGAGGCTTGAAAGTGGTGAATAAATGTTTAATAAATGTCCATCTCATTGCCTGTATGACCATGTAATTATTCAGAGTGAGGAAGGGGGTGACCAGTCTGTCTGCTTATCCAAACATCTAKTCATTTATTATGAGTTTACAAACATTTACTGAGGGTTTTCTACAAGCTTTCAGAAGAGAGGGATATTTTCAGGAAGCAAAACAGGTTATCCTCACTGGCCAGTGCAGAGCTCTGAGGTCCAGGTCTCCAGGTGCTTGGTGCTGTGGGCCCAGCCGTAGTCCAGAGACTGCAGAATCTATGGGTTGTCATAAAACATCCAAATCAAAACTCAGAATCACAGGTTTGAGCTTGAGGAGAGCTTAGAGCTCTGAGATCAGTGATTTTTAAAATATTTTATAGGGCTGGGGTTGTGGCTCAGTGGTGGAGCATTTGCCCAGCATGTGTGAGGCACTGGRTTTGAGTCTCAGCACCACATACAAAGTTTATCAACAACTAAAAAATAATTTAAATTTCTTTTAAATCTGTTTTATTTCCAACTTTCTTCAGAAGAATACCTATTATCCAAAACGTAAAAGAGCCAATATGACAGCACCCTCCTTGCTACCAGGGGACCTGTGGCTCCCCGGCCCACAACATGGAAACTCATCTCCGAGGTCTTTGCTGGGGACAGGCCCAGAAAGAGGAGCCTTGCTCCCAGAGCTGGACGGTGGGGATATGGAGCTTGGGAAGCCGATGGAATTTTAAAAGAAGGGAAGAGAATTTTAGAAAATGATCGAAATCAGAAACTCAATGGCGAGGTTCCTTCATAGAATAGACGACACCTGGAAGATGTGRGGACTCCACACAGAGACGGACGAATGAAAGAGAGGTCAAGAAACGGGCGGAGGGAGAGACAGAGACGCGGTGCTGGTTCCTGAGGAGTTGAGGGAGGGGAGCAGYGTTCAGAGAGAAGGGGAGAGGGCAAAGCTCAAGATTCAGGGAGCCAAAAAAAACCTCCAAAGAGAATGAAAAGAAAACCCCCATTTCCAGCCATCGGCATGGGACGCTGTTCATAAGGACAGGGTTCCTTCCCCGCTGGACGCCAACACACTGATGAAGGGGCCCGAGAAGGCTTTGTAGGAGCTGTGGGGTGCAGGGTTGGGGGAGGTGCGGTTGTTGCCAAACCAGGCTCACTTTGCGCCACGCAGGATGCCAATCCCTGAAGCCAGGAGTTTTGTGGAAAAGCAGAGTCGGGAGGCAGCCAAGCATGTGGAGACAGGGACGGGATCTCACTGTGGCTGCCCAAGGCTGGGGCGGGGGATCTTCATGGGCTGAAGCATGGGGAAAGTGACTTGAGGTTAATCAAGAGCAGGTAAAGCAGCTAGAGGGGATCAGCTGTCACCATCCGGACCCACACATCTGTAGTCAACTCAAAGCAAGTAACTTAGAGCAGGTGACATCTAGAAAGTTTATTCAGGTTTTCTCTCAACTCACAGTTTCCAAGCCCAGTAGTGGTGGTGGGGGGAAACAGAAGAAAAAAGAAAACCTTGATCACTTCTTAAAAATGCAAAAAAAAAAAAAAGAAATTTGACCACTGGCAAGCACAATAAAATAAAAGAGTCAAATCTGCCCTGGGTGGTGCGTGCCTGTGATCCTAGTGACTCAGGAGGCTGAGGTAGGCGGTTGCAAGTTCAAGGTCAACCTCAGCAACTTAGGCCCTGGAGGGCTGGAGATGTGACTCAGTGGTAGAGCATCCCTTAGGTTCAACCCCAGCACCAAATACATTAATAAGTCCTAATCATACATTTGTATGTGTATTAAACTTTCTGCTTAAAACACAGTCATGTCAGCTCAGATTTTTAAAACAAATCCAGATATATTGTGTTTACAACTGACACATCTACAATATATGGACCCAGGATGGCCACAAGTATGAAAAGTTATACCAAGCAAATAAAGATCAAGATTGAGCTGGTGTAGCTAAAGTAACATCAGACAAACTTGACTTTAAGGCAAAAAGCACTGGTGGAAGTAAAAGAGGGGCAAAAATCTAAGGAACAAAAGGTCCCACCCACCAGGTTTAGGAAGAGAGATCTGACACAAAGCTTGTGCAATCCCCTGGTTTCAATCCCCAGTGCTGAAAAAAAAATGAAAAATAAGTTTAAAAGAAGAAAGCAGTAATTATCCTTCCTTCAAAACTTGCCTTAGAGTATAAAGGTTCTTTGGCACTCATTTGTTAAACACTGACTCCCAGATGATACCAAGAAGGCTGGTGAGGTAGGCATTACCACCACCCTTTCACAGATGAGGAGCCTTCAGTTCAGAGAGGTTAAGGACTTGCCTAAAGTCACCCAGCAGCCCAATACTCTGGAGCACAAGTCTTAAGACTCGGATCCCAGTGTTCTTTCCTCTCCCCGCGGGTGTTTTAAAGGGGAGAGCATCCAATCTGCACGGAGGGAAGAAAGGCATGGCAGAGCGCAGTGGGCAACAGCGTGGGCAAAGGCTTGGAAGGTGGAAAATGCAGGAGGAAGGTTTGGAGACTGGAGGGAAGCGACTGTGCCACACTCACCGCAGAGGAGGTGGGACAGGGTGGATTCCAGTCCGTTTTGGAGGGAACTCACGCAGGAAGCAAGAAGGTTGTTCCGGGTCAGGGGCCTCGCAACGGTACGCACAGGGCCTGGGCCGGTACCCGGGTGCAGACACTGCGCAGAAGCCGTGCCCCAGTGAACCCGGGCCCACGCGAGCGCAGGCCGGCGTGGGCGGGGCCTTGTGGGTGGGGCCTGGGGCGGGTACCTTTATTAAAATGTAAAAAAAGGGCTGGGGGTGTGGCTCCCGAGGTGCGTGTGGGCGGGGCCTTGTGGGTGGGGCCTGGGGCGGGTACCTTTWWTAAAATGTAAAAAAAGGGCTGGGGGTGTGGCTCCCGAGGTGCGTGTGGGCGGGGCCTTGTGGGTGGGGCCTGGGGCGGGTACCTTTWWTAAAATGTAAAAAAAGGGCTGGGGGTGTGGCTCCCGAGGTGCGTGTGGGCGGGGCCTTGTGGGTGGGGCCTGGGGCGGGTACCTTTWWTAAAATGTAAAAAAAGGGCTGGGGGTGTGGCTCCCGAGGTGCGTGTGGGCGGGGCCTTGTGGGTGGGGCCTGGGGCGGGTACCTTTATTAAAATGTAAAAAAAAGGGCTGGGGGTGTGGCTCCCGAGGTGCTGTGGGCGGGGCCTTGTGGGTGGGGCCTGGGGCGGGTACCTTTATTAAAATGTAAAAAAAAGGGCTGGGGGTGTGGCTCCCGAGGTGCTGTGGGCGGGGCCTTGTGGGTGGGGCCTGGGGCGGGTACCTTTTATAAAAAAGGCCTTCCGTGAGGGTGTGGCTCCGTGGGGTGTGGCACCGTGGGTGTGTCTCGGTGGGGGTGGCTAAGTGGGGGTGTGGCTCTGTGGGAGTGACTCGGGGTGGGGGTGTCTCGGTGGGGGGTGGCTCGGTGGGGGTGTCTCGGTGGGGGTGTCTCGGTGGGGGTGGCTCGGTGGGGGGTGACGGGCGGGGCCCGCGGGCTTGCTCACGGAGTCCGCGCACCACCTGTCTTGGTCGTTAGCGGCCCGCTGCTGGGGTCCCCTTCAGGTTCAAACCGTACTGAGCGAGGAAGGAAGACTGCTGCACGTGAGGGCAGGAAACCGCCTGCTGTCTTTTGGTGGGAAGAGGAGGCTCTGAGTGTCCTGGAGTGGAGGGGGATGGGGCAACGCGGTGAGGGGAGCAGAGATGGTAGATGGACCCGGCCGTGCGGGTAGGAGGGGATCCTGTGGACTGAGCTGTCTCCAGTCAACTTTGGCAGGCGGCGGGGGAGGGGCTGACCTGGTTAGAAGTCAGCCCTGGTTTGGCCCCTCTGCAGCGGCTGACCAGCTAGCTGTAGCCTGGCGCTGGACAGGCAGGCCTGCCAAGTTCCAGTATGGTCATTTCTAAAACCCGGAACCTAAGTCTTAGGGCTTCAGGGCCTGCTGAAGGCTGTGCAGTGCTTAGCGTGGTTCAGTCATTGAAGGCGCGTTTATAAGCCCTGCTCTCGGCGCCCAGCTCTCATTAGTCCTGCCAGTACAGCAGGGGGACAAGACAGTGGTCCCTTCTCATGTGGCTCTGTGGGCTAAAGGAAGAAACTGTGATTCCTTCAGTACTGTGGGTGGTGGCACCTGCCATGGAGGAAGATAATGCCAGGTAAAGAGAGTAGGAGCTGATAGGGTGCTGCAGTTGGGGAGGGAGCCATGGAGGAAAGGCTTGCTGGATGTTTGAGAAGGACTTGAAAGCATGAGGGAAAGAGAGTTCCAGAAAGAGGGAACCGCCAGTGCAAAGGCTCTGTGCTGGGAGCATGCATGGCATGTTGGTGAAACAGCCAAGCCGAAGAGTTTGGAGCAGAGTGAGGAGGAGCAGGGCTGAGGTCAGGAAGGTAACAGAGTCAGCCAGCAGAGGCCAGCACACCTCCTGAATGTCAGTCAGTAAATATTTTGTTTGGGGTTTTTTGGTTCTAGGGATTGAACCCAAGGGCGCTTAACCACTGAGCCACAGCCCCTGCCCTTTTCTATATATATATATATTTTGAGACAAGGTCTCCCTGAGTTGCTTAAGGCCTCACTAAGTTGCTGAGGCTGGCTTTGAACTTGGAATCCTCCTGCCTCAGCCTCCTAGCTGCTGGGATTACAGGTGTGCACTGCTGCAGCCAGCTAAGAGGGTAAATGTTTTAAGGCTTTGTTGGCCTGAAGGTGTCTGTGGTGACTGTTCAACTTCACCATTACAGCCTCAAAGCTGACCATCCATAAGCAGATGGATATGGCTTTGTTGTGTGTAATACAAGTCATGCCCTGGTCACAGTGTGCCAGCTCCTGCCACAGGGCCTGGAAGGCCTTGGCAGTGCATGGAGAGGGCTAGGAGCCATGGGATGTCTGAGTTGAGGCAGGGTAGATCTGATCTGAGTGTTCCAGGATCACTTAGGCTGCTGTGTGGGGAGTTAGATGTCAAGGGAGGGCACAGAGTAGAGGCAGGGGGCCCAGTTGGGAGGCAGAAGGTGGTGGAGGCTTACCCAGGGAGGTGCAGGTGGAGGCCATGCCCAGGCTCATGTTTTGGATACTTATGGAAGGTGGACTGAATTGGATGACTGAGGGCGTGAGAGCGGGGGAAGCCAGGTGGCTCTGGGAGAGAGCTTGTTTGGAGGTATGCAGGAATTGGGATCTGAACCTCCTGATGAGGAGATGGCCATTAAACATCTGGCAGAGGTGTGGAGGAGGTGTGGGTCTCCCTGGTTGGTCTGCTGGCCAGTGGAAGGTCTGGGGCTAGGCGAGGCCATGCATACCTGAGGCTGAGACCACAGGGTAGGGCTCAGTCCTGGCCTTGCCACCAAGGAGGCATCAGCAGAGGAGCCTGGGAAGAGCATGCAGGGAGGGGGAAGGGGACCAGAGAGGAGCATCCTGGGGTCAGCTCAGGGAGGCCTCCAGAAGGACCACCTGCCCTGTGCCCCCGAGGCCTCAAAAACCCCAAGTGCTGAGAGCTGAGGTCTTGGTGTTCACCTGGAGGAGCGCAGCTTGGCCGGGAGCTGGGGCAGGCCAGATGGAAGTGAGGTCAACGTGGTGGGCGGGGCGGACTGGGGTGTGGGTGTGATGGCCAGGTGAGAAGATAGATGGCCCAGGACCTGTGTGTGTGTGTGTGTGTTTTATTTGGACTTGTTTCTTTGGTGCTGAGGATTGAACCCAGGACCTTGCACTATTTTAGTGTTTTGGGTTTTTTTTTAATATAGAAGTTAACCACCTACATGTGAAATGATTCAGTAAGGCAGGGGGCAGTGCTAGAGGGCGGGGAGGGGACTTCTGAGCAGTAGGGGCTGACACTGCAGCCTTCACAGTTAGTGATCACGCATATAATTCCCACCCAGCGCCCCCAGCTCTGTGCCCTGGTGCTGGGCTGAGTCTGCCAGGGGCCCATGGTTGCCCCTGGTGCTTTTCCCAACTCACAGCGAGGCCCCTGGAGGTGGTGGGAAGACGCCATGAGTGCAAGGTGTGGCGGTCGGGCTGGTCCTGGCAGGAGAGCCAGGCTGCAGCCATGTGCTGAAGGGGGTGCAGGGGACAAGGAGGAGTGAGGAGCAGGTCCTGGAGGGAGAGGACTGGAGTCTGATCCTCCGGCAGGGTCTGGAGGCTGGGGGCCAGAGGACAGGACTCTGAGCAAGGCCATCAGGGCTTTGTCCACTTTCACCTGCTCAGGTGCAGCCCAGGGCACAGGTGGCTGCCTTTACYCAGCCTCTGCCAAAAGACTGGGACAGTAGGAGGGAGGGGCTGGGGGGATTACATGCTTGATCACTAGCTGAGAAGGAGGGAAGGGATGAGGGAATGTCTGAGGGCCAGGGCGGTTGGGTCAGAGGGCTGGGTCTCGTGACAGAAAGGGACGCTGGAGGAAGTGAGCTGGAAAGACAGGGAAAGGACGGGGACCTGGGGGCAGGTGGCTGAGATCAGGTGAAGGACAGGGAGAGGAGAAGGTCAGGGACTCTGGGTGGATGATGACTCGCCAAGAATTCAGACAGGCGTGTGCTGGGAAGGTGACGATGAACCCAGCAAGAGCTGAACTCTGAAGCCTCAGGGTGAGACCTGACGTCCTTTCCTGGCCACTCAGCTCGGAGCCAGGGGGTTTCAGAGGAGGGAGGGGAGTGGTTTGGAGGGGGCACCAGGAAGCTGAGGGGGCTGGCCCTCCTCCAGGCCACACTGAGGGGCTACCTGGAATGAGAGTCCTTAGGGGATGTGTGGTCAGTGTGAGGAGCACTGGGCCAGAGGACACCCGGCAACTGTGGGGAGACGGGGGACTGAAGGGCAGGAGAGGAGACCTGGGGCTCAATCAGTGAGCGGCCATGGCCAGGCTGGGGGAGCTGCTGCAGGGTGGAGGTGGGGAACAGGGCACTCACGGCCACGCTACCTTGTCCTGTCCCTGCAGAGCCCATGGGATTTGTCTGTGCTTGTTGGGGTGCTGGGGAACCCAGGGCCTTGTGCGCGCCAGGCATGTGCTCCACCACGGAGCCCCTCTGATGGAACAGGCCAGACCTTCCATTGTGGTGTGAACTGAGGACACCGCTGTCCCCATAGTCCATGGAGCCAAGACTCGTCACCAGCTATAAGGAGAATGTGCCCCCAGGGCCTGCAACCCCCTGGAGGCCAGGCAAGAGGCTTCAGTGGGCCTGGGCAGGGTCCCCTCTAGGGACAGACTCAGCCCCTTCCTGGGCAGGCCTGAGGGTGGGTTTCCCAGGGTCGGCTGGGCCTCTGACAAAGTCTCCCCAGCCTGGGGCCTGGCAGGACCAGGAGTGGGCCCGGCTGGTGCCCCTGGCCGAGATGCCAGGGTTGGTGGGCAGGGGCCCTCCCTGCTCTGGCTCAGGGGCTGTGAGACAGTGGGGACACTCTGCACACTGAAGAGGGGCCTTGGGGACTTAGGAAGGGCTCCGAACCCCACTGCACATCCCCCCGAGTTGGCCTCCAGCTGCCTTCCCCCAGCCTGTGACCCCTGCCTGTGACCCCAGCCTGTGACCCCTGCCTGTGACCCCAGCCTGTGACCCCTGCCTGTGACCCCAGCCTGTGACCCCTGCCTGTGAC